ACTTTTGCAAATTAAGATAAGCCAATGGGTTCTCTTTTTTTTTTTTTAAAGTATGATGATGATGCAAACGCCATTCTAGCTGCCAGTACACCCAGCCCTTCCCAGGCTCCTCTGGCCAGTTTCATAACAAGGTCCCTAATAGCACTATATTCAACAGTCTCAGTGATCAGGTTAAGACAAAAACTTCAGTCCCAAATTTGTAACATCAAATGCATGAGAAACAAGACAGCTGAGGGCCATGGCTCCCAAACCAGTTCTTATGAAATACTCTGTCCTCAAGAAATATCCAAGTAGGATTATTAAATTAAGAGTACATTACAGCCATAAGCAACAACCTTGTAGACAAACCCTTGCTTTCACCAGGCAATTACATGTTCTTTGTATCACAAACTTTTCATGCAAAGAAGAAAGGGAAAGCCAGCTCTGCATTTAAATACCAGTATCCTTAATTTCTGCTTAAGGCCACATCACCTGTCAAGGAAGCATTACCTGAGAACCTAATTCCAAAAAACACCAAAGTAACAGCCAGCTGACAAACTATTGCTAATATACTAGCCAGAAGTACTGCAGCAGTATGGTCCTGATACTATGCAAATTCCCTGTTGGAGGGCAAACTGTCTGCTAGAAAAATGTTCTGCTAGCCCTTATTTCATAAGAAAACAAGTATGCAATAAAGCATTTCAGTTTTAAATGTTGAGACAGTAATACTTTTAAATACTGTACTCATTTGTTTCAGTGGTCTTCAATTTTTATTTGTAAGTTGGGCATTAGGCTACATACTCGAGCTGTAAAGTCATCATGCCAACTATCAGATTTAAAAATACGATTCATCTTTTTTATACTCAAGATTTCCACCCAATCCCAGAAAAGTCTTACAGACTTCTTTTTGTTTTCAAGGACAGCCAGCAGGGAGCAGCATATTATAGTCCCTGCAGGAATAACTTCATCCCTTGTTAAAATAAAAAAAGGTGACTAGTAACATCTGTTTATGTCTTGTCTTAGTTACTTGTTCTGAGTCCACTTCCAGTTCCCATTTGCTCAAATAGGATTTATTAGAAGAAAAAAATGTCAGAGTTTAGCTTTAAAAGGTAAGCAAGTAAAAAAAAATCAAATTTATTACTGTAACGAAGATTAGAAGTTTACTTTGTGCAGCAGCACTTGTTACTTACTTATAAATCTGAGATTGGGACTATTCTGCATCAAGGCTGGCAAATCACATGATAGTTATTGCCTTAAAACAATGGTAAACTAGCCAAAAAAGGAGAGCATATTTCTAGCTGGTCACTCATCTCTGGAAAGAGATGTTGTTTTCTTGTTTTTCCACCCACAACTTTAGTGGAAGTTCTTTTAGCCTTTTTTGATACACAAAAAGGCTGCAAAAATTCAGACTTCACATTGATAATTTAATGTCTAACCTGTCTTTTTAAGGCAGGTATACATAATATTAAGAACTTGTAGAAAAAGTCTCAGACTCAAGACAGTGAAACATGAAGGAAGTGCAGCTAGCTTCTTGCACACCTCCTGGCTTCCTCCTGCAATGCTGTCTAGACTCCCAAGCCCTACCTGAAATCTGTGCCTCTGGCTGCTCCTAGCAGAGCCCTGCAGTGCAGACACTAACAGAGTTAAGCTAAGCCTCTGTGCTTGTCTCGAACAAGAGCCACCAGCACAGCCCCCACAACAGCTGGGGCTTTCCACCCAAGTCCTCTTCCATATAACCTCCAGGCAGAAGTGACTGCACCACTTAACTGCAAGTGAGCACAACTACCAATACAGCCTTCTAGTTTTAAGATTAAAAACATTTAAGCACAACTCTTACCTATCAAGGTACTGCCATGAACTAAGTTCTGGGAACAGTATACTGGCATTTTACTAATACATAAGCTGAAGAATGGCACAAGACACTAGATTACGCCTTTTTTATTTCAAAAGCTAGGATAGCTTCAATATCCATGTCATGGTGAATCAGAACACATGTAAAATACCTTACAATACATTAGATTCCAAAAAGGTACCAAAAAGTACAGTAAAATTAACACTTCCATTACAGGAAATGTATGACACAAAAACAATACAAAATAAAAAGGTGGAAAGTGACACTGGTTCCCTAAGATGCATCTCATTCTGTACAACTGGAGTAATGCAGAGTCCATAGTTAACTCCAAGAGGCAGTCCCTAGATGCAGAGCTGCAGCTTTAAGCAGACCCTCAAAATCAGTTTCAGTTTAACCTATTAATAAAATCATTAATTAATATCTTCAGCAAGGCTGAAATTTACACACCACACTGTCTAGACAACTAGTTATCTGTAAGTATTAAACATGTAAAACATTTCCAGGGAGCTCTTCCAAGTAAGATGCACATTTAACAGGCCATAGAAATTTATTGTAAAGTTAAATTTGGTACAGAACTGAAGTATCCATCTACAGCATTGTATACAAAACCTATGCAGTCATTTTCCAAAAGAGACCATGCCACTGCATACCTGAATAAGTTTGATCAATATGGCTTGTAGTTATTCTGATGACCACCACGTCTTGGTGTCTTCCCATAATTTGCACTGCCTTGACCTATGAACAAGAGAACAAATGCATTAAACTGCTAATTAGTTACGTTTGCTTATACCCAATACAGTTCTCTTTACTTACTGTAATCATAGCCTGGTCCATATCCATAATACCCATATCCTGAATAATCATAGCCTCCATAGCCACCATAACCTTGCTGATAGCCGTATCCTTGATTCCCATAACCCTGGTTCCAGTAATTGCCATAACCTTGATTCCAATTTTGACTTTGAGCTATAGAAGGGAAAACCATCCACAAAATCCCATTTTAGTACACACAACTTATTTAGAATGTGTCCATACTAAAGTAGTGTGTGTAGTACTTACCGCCGCCTCTTCCACCTCTGCCTCTTCCTCCATAGCTACCTCTTCCTCCACCACTACTGAACTGTTGCTGCTGGTATACTTCTTTTGGCTGTGCTACCTTAATCTCGCACTGAAAATAAAAAAAGAAGGAACAATGTGTATACTGTCTTATAGCAGCAGTGCCCAACCTAACCTCCTAGGAAAGCCAGAGGTTACTCTAGAGGCAAAGGAGGTATACATGCTGTGCTCCCTGTCACATGAGCAGGACTAATGCATATCCAGAAGCATCTGATTTACTGTGCCACCTGGGCAAAGGGTAAATTGCTCTCAGCCATTCAAAGCAGGCCACCGCTTTCAGAGTATTTTATACCACCTATTCCCTACCATCAGCTTCCCCACGGAACAGAAAGGTTAGTCATCATTGGCCAAAGCAGGCCACTGCTTTCTGAGTATTTTAATACTGTCTATTCTCTACTATCAACTCCCCCATAGAAGAGGTGCTGAGGCCACCTCAGCATAGCCGCTGCTCCTGTAGGAGCCTGCCCTTTGTCCTGGCACAACCTCCAAGGTGAGGCCGTCGCGACTGGACCACTTCACCTGAGCTGCACTGAATGAACAAGGCGCTGAGAAATGCACCAGAACAAGTTTCCTGGCAGCCTTCATACACTCTATACACTGAGCATCTGTGTTGGATTGTACAGTACACCTACCAACACTTGAAATCGTCACTTATCAAATACTAAAGCCAGCTAAAACCAACCAGAACTGACACTTCCAAGACAGGTTCCCAGGCTGCAGTTCAAGCTGTCAGCCAGCTTCCTAGTTCCTAAAGCTACTGCTGCGGTAAAAAGAACAACTCCCTGTGATAGCAGCACCTGAGCAACCCTGGCTTGGAATTCTTCGCCACAGGAACTTTAAGGTAACCCGCTCTTTTTATTATTACTGTGACATCAAAACAAGCCATAGTTACAAGATACAGAGATGATTTCTTAGCTCCCTTGGCACATAAGCATTCATTTCTCCTGAAAATAAGCTTTATTGCTAACTACAGTGTCTTGACAACTACCAGTGCATTAGGTTTGCCAAAGTTTATTTTGTGCTGTGTCAAGACCAGTCTTAAACTAAGTGCAATCATCTAAGTCGCTGTGTCAGATAGTATGACCAGATCTAATAGGGCTTTGACGTTAATTTATAGTCAGCACTGGCCATGGGGCAAGGAAAGAGGGACACCTCCAGCCAAGCACACATCATTTGCCTCCAGTCCTCATTAGCTTGACACATGAGCCTCTACTAGCTGTTCCCACAGATGAGCAGTCAGCTGTTCAGAGCATCTCTGAACTACGACTTCTACAGTAGTTCACATAACCACCTGACCAGGTACAAGTCGCCATAAGCATATATTTACTCTCTGGATCCTTGTACTGGGTTTACATGACAAGGTTTTGGTTGCAGGAGGGGCTTCTGAGAGAAGACACCAGAAACTGCTCCCATGTCAGACAGAGCCAGTATCAGCCAGCTGCTGACAAAGTTAGTGTCTGTAAGCCTTGAATTTATGCAAGTGCTCTATGCCAAAAGTAGGCGCATATCTCTTGAAATGGCTTACAGTGCTAAATTGATACATAAATAAGCCAGTTTTTCCACATGTATTTAATGAATGTGATTAGATACTTAACCCCTAGAACACAGCAAGTATTAAAGCCACAAGTATTGGCAAAGAACCTTTGTAGCCCCTGTGACTGAACTTATGGCAAAACACCCCTGTGCTAAACTGCAAGCTGTCTTTATTGTAATTTTGGTACCTTGAGATCAGAGGTCTATAAAATCTTTTTCAGGTTATAGATGTAGTGGTATTATGCTTAATAACTTGGATAAAAATTTACAAGTCAAAGTTTCTACCTTGCTTCCACTGACGTTATGGAATTTCTTCTCCAAAACCTTCTTCACCGGATCCTCTTCCTTGAAAGTGATGAACACAAACCCCCTCCTTTTGTTGGTCTTTGGATCCATTGGGAGTTCAATTGCTTCAATCTGAAGATGTGAAATACTATTGTCAGACTTGTATTTTAGCAGAACAGTTAAGTGCGTGGCATTTGGGACAGTAAAGCTGTAAGTTTCCTATCTATGCATATTATGCAACAGCAAATTGCAATATTCTTTCTATACTAACATTGGCTTTCAGACTAGAGGTTTCAATTTTACAACTCTTAAAAACAATTTTAACAGCAGATAAAATGGTTTGACTTGAAGACACAGGTATCTAACTTGCAATGGAAGCATCTAAGTGAGGTACGTGCCTTCCTTGCTCTCAAAGATGGGAAACCTCTGTATCAGTTACAGAAGGCCAGATACATCTGGAGTTAATTTAAATTGCAACTTGCAAATTATTAGTAAACTAAAGAGTGACTGGAGACTATATGTTTCAGTGTTTACTAAGATAACATTACACACCTCTCCAAACTCTCCAAAGTATTCCCTGATTTTCTCTTCTGTGGCTTCTGGGTTTAGTCCACCAACAAATATCTTCTTCACTGGATCCTTTTTCATTGCCATGGCCTTCTTGGGGTCAATTAGTCGTCCATCTAGCCTGTGTTCTTTCTGTTCCAGAACCTGAAAGATTGTTTGATAGGATTAACTCCAGCTGAAAAGTTTCTCCTAGAAGTTAAGAATCTGAAATACGAAGCTTAAATTCACCTTTTCAACACTCCCAGGTTCTTTGAAGAGAATAAATCCAAAGCCTCTGGATCTTCCTGTGTTAGGGTCCATCTTTATCGTACAGTCAGTTACCTCACCAAATTTGGTGAAGTAATCTTTCAAGTCTTTTTTGCTTGTATCCCAACTGAGGCCACCAACAAACATCTTCCTGGAATTTCAAAGACATAAGAGCTATTTAGATTCAGGAAGTACTACAGAAAAGCACATGCAGCAAGATGCTCGCAGTGGTATATAGCTCAGCAGCATTGTCAGAAACAGGACCAACTGTTGAAAGTTAAATACTTTTGCATCTTGTCAAACGCTAGTGATACTATAAGTAGTGCACAAGGGTGGGTTTCCCCTGCCATCTTTTTAAGGGAATGACACAATGCACCCTGAAGTTTATTACAGGCTATAAGAAACCATAAAAATTGCCTAAAATACCCCTTGCCAGTAACTTACGTTCTTTCAACATCATTCCATTATTTGCAACAAAACAGTATTGATGATCATGAAGTACTGCCTACTCAGTTTTTGAAAAGAACCTAGGATCTTCCTACTGCTTCGAAAGCATTCAGATAGAATAAGGTATCAAAAGCAAAATACTTGAGCCCTTTTAGGATTTGGACAAAAGGCTGTAAAAATTTTAGTCCTAAGACTAATCTACAAAATTTAAACCAGGTATCTATGACCTCCAAGAAGTCACATACAACAAATGGGACTTTGGACCTACCTTAACTACTATGTTGTGCACTTCTTCCTGCTTAGTTACTGAATCTAGTTCTGTCTTCATCAGTACTACAGGAGTACCTCCACTATCAGTCTTTACTTTCATGAAAGGCCAATACAGTACTTCCCTGCCCACTTTCCCACACAAAATACTCTCTAAAACATCTCAATGAACTAAATACTAGTGAAGCAAAATAGAAAAGTGAAGCTAGCAAACAAAACTCAGATCAGGCAATAAGGCACTTTTCAAATGCTTCACTTCAAATGAAAACATTAATAACATGGCTGTATTTTCTATTTTCAGAGTTTCCAAGGTAACAAACTAAGCTTTTAAAAGCATTCGAGCCTTTTTATCTAACTATAGACTAAAGCAGTTTAAGTTGTCATTACTGTGTTTAGAGGCAACCTAGATTTGGCACTAGAAGCTAGCAGCACTTTAGAAACTAGACTATGTTTAAATAAAATTGGCTTTTGGTGTTTGTGTGTAACTTTGATTTACTAGAACTTGCATGCATTTATGTGCAAAAGGCAACTCGAGAAAAAACCTGTATGTGCTATGGGTTTTTTTTCTTTCTCCTTAAACTGGATGAAACCATATCCTTTGTAGGCTAAACCCTTATTTTTTCAGAAGATCAAGCTGTGCACTCTTAACTGACAAGCGCAGCATGATACATAGGGTCCAAGTAAAGCCTGCGTGCTTCTTGCAACCATTACAATAGTCTTACAGAAAAGGCCTTACAAAGTTTACTAAGCCTTTCAATAACAGGTGAAAGAAAGGTAACCTGACAGATTCCTTCTCATCACAACAGCTTACTGACCAAGAATGACTGCTTATAATCTGTACAGACTGACAGTGGTTTTCCATAGCATAGCCTGTCATCACTGACTACATTTACAGAACGATCAAGATCATGGTTGGGGGATGACAGAAAGTTGTCTGGAGGCAGCTTTAGCTGCTTTATGCCATTGGGTTGAAGCTGTGGTACACACACAGATATTGTCACATGCTAGATTCACCTCTGACCACAGCAGTAGTGTTACACTTTGTGATTTACAGTCCTTTGTTTTGTAATTGGAATGACTGATACCTACGTACATTTAAATAACACAATATAGTGCCTTTGAAATTAGGACCAAATTCCTAGTATTTGGCTTTGCCTTCAGAGGCCACACAAACTGGACAACTGCACTCTTAACATGTAGTCTCTTTTTTTCCTCCCGAGTATAGTAGTGCAGCTAAATCAAAGCACGTTTCAGCTCTTAACAAAATACTCTTAATGTCAGCACCCTGAACTCTGCCTTGGACAGCTCTTGTCTTAGCATAGCGCTAAATTTTCCACATAGGTCAATCTCTCTAAATAACTGCTTTTCTTAGAAGATTCATTTCACACGGATTTGGGGTTGAAACTTGTCACCTCCTATGCAAGAAAGGGCAAGAGTATCGCCCGCTTTTCAGGGCAGAATACTAAAAAAGTAAAACGAAAATTCGCACACAGCTAAAAGGCTTGGTTCTCAATCCTTCTAGTGTCTGCAAAAGGTATATCTGGCCCTAGCTTATACGAAACTTGTGCAAGTCTTACTCCTTCCTTTACAGCCAAAGTCTATTATGCTACGGTGGCTTCAGCTCTCTCTTCAACGTGAGGGATCTGACCCTTTGGTTCAGGACCCAAGGATAACAAAGGGAGTTCCAATTAAACACATGGGGTAGTTTGAATAACAAAGACCCGCTTGAGAAACAGGCAGGTAATTTTCAAGTCAAGCACGTATATTCATAAACAGACCAACTACGATAGGAAATAAATTACTGTTTTGTACACAAGGATGCCACTACCAAAACACAGCAAAACCACGCTGACCCCTCCAGAAATCACTCACAAGATATAAGCCGTTTTCTGACAATGCTGCAAAGCAGTATACCAAAATCGCTCTTGCTAGTTTAAACACACCATATATCGCCTCAATCATGCCGTTTTTCCTTTACTCCGTCCAAAAATACTTAGCTTACCCCGACTAGCTTCCAAAACTAGCATCATTTTTTTACATGCGTTACACAAAACACGTTCGCATTTACACCAACGCCGGTGGCGATCGGTCACGCAATCTCCAGAAAGTTTGAACCAGCCCACCCTCCGCCAGAAATCAACTCTTTCCATCCCCCCCTTTCGTTAAAAAGGGAAAGGATGAAGAAAACGCGGGATGCGAAGCGAGCCGAGGTAAATCCCCTTCCATTTTACAGCGTGAGACGGCAACAAACCCGCTCCC